TGTCACTCTAAGTGCAGTATCCTGAGCTATATTGATATGGTGTCTAAATTGGAGATTTTCTAATTTAGCAGTTGTGGAAGTAATTGGGAGATTCAAATTAAAACTACCAACTCAACTATAGTGGATTGGAAAACAGGATTTTTGTGGTAGCTTGACAGAGGGAAGCTAGAAAGAACTCAAGCCTGAATGGTCATCAGGGATGTGGGTGGCCGTCTTGTCATCTCGGAACACAAAATGTGGGAGCGACCACAACAGCTAGGGGAGTATTTATGTTGGAGATAAAAGGCTCCTGCCTTTAAAAACGAGCCAGTATTTCAGACAGGAAAGGCTATTCATCCGATTCCATGCTTTTCAGTTCTGAGCTCAGGTTCACAGCTTCGGTCTGTCAAATCCCACCCATGCCCACCTCCCCTGAGCTGCTGATTCAATTCTAGGTGAGACCCAGTGGATAGGGACAAGTGCAGCAAGAGTCCAGTGAGCTCCCACCAGCTTCCTTCCCACGTGGCCACCTGCTCCTCCTCTCTCGAGGCTTTTCCCAGCCCTTGCCTGCTGGGTGGGTGCTAGTATCCCGGGTCGACCAGGTTCTGGTCAGATTCCCCATAGAAAGAGAGCAGGGCCTTGGAAGATCTTTTTCTTTCTTATCCTGGCGTCCTCTTGTTTGCAAGGGAGTTGAATAAGGTGGGCCTGTATAATCCTATAGTTTTTCAAGGTCATATTAACCCAGGCCATGATAATATGACCCTTCTCTGAATTTATAATACGTGAATATACAGCAACAATTCGATGTCTCTCCTTACTCTGCTGGCCGCTCTGCTGGCCTTGGCAGGGCGATTCTTCGTAAGGTCTCACCAGGGTCCACTTGTGTGGCTGCATTCAGCTGGTGGGTCAGCGGGGGCTGGATGAAATCGGGACAGCCGGTCTCTCTGCCTACACACCACCCTTCATCCTCACAGAGGCTTGACCAGCGTCTTTACACTGCTCAAGAGAGCAAGCCCCGCCATGCCTAACCTCTTACCCAGCCTCTGCTTGCTTTGGATTTGCTAACACCCTGTTGGCCCAAGCATGCCGCATGGCCACACCTCCTGTCAGTATGGAAGAGGCACTCCACAGAAGCATGGACCTGTGAGGGGTGACTCATTAGGGTCGTTAATGTAACAGACTATCACAGCCTCCGTGCTAAATTACCTGTCATCTCTAGAGAGCTTTCCCAAGGTGGTTTTGTTCCAAATATTCTCATAGAATTATTTGGAATTATAAATCTAATATGCTCATGGGATAATTCACTGGGACCATACAGAATTGGGACCCCTGAGTAGATAGTGAATCAGACTAAATTTAATCATAAGAAAATTAGGCTTGCCTGGGTCTAATCTTATGTTTTCAAGATAGCAAAGTGAAAGTCAGGATGTGGTGCCCTCCCTCTTTGAGACCTCTGCTGTTTTTCATAAATGCAAGTAATTGATAATAACTTATAAAGCTACTTCAGAATGACTCTAGACTTTTGTATTAGTCTTATAGGTATGGAATAATAAACATTAGTAATACATTTATTACCTAAGAGACAATTTACATTTATATTGCAATGGTGGAATATAACATTTAATAACTTATATTGGGGGATTGTTTTGTTTTTTAGATCTACCGAGAGATCAAAATTATGACGATGTTGCACCATCCACATATAGGTACTTTCTGCTATTTAGAATATTTTTGGGTCTAAATGCATTGTTGAAAGCATGTCATAAAGCTAAATATGTATTCAAGAAATGGTAGAAAGAGACTCCTTCCCTTCCCCTACCCCAGGTAGGGGAATAGTACATATCCAAACTTTTGATCATTTGTATTAGCTTTTTGAAATAACTGAAGAGAGGTTTAAAAGCTTAGGTATTAAACATTTGAATTTAAAGCTTTAGTGCAGTAAGAAACATCTTTAATCATAATAACTATAATTTTCTGATTCTTTAACGTATTAGAAAATATAATTGTATTTCATTAGTGGAGAGAAGGGAATTATAGGAAGTCAGAATTAATATTTTCAGGAATTCTGCCTCCAAGACTGTCTTCTAACTCAAGGCTGCAACATCAGTTTTTTCCTGTCTCCAGCCTGACTTGCATATTTTGGACTTGCTAGCCCCCACGATTTCATGAGCCAACTCCTTAAAATAAATGTCTCTCTCTCTTTTTCTAAAAAAAAGAAAAAAGAAGGAATTAATATTTTCAAGGGTATAATACTTTGTGCTGTGACTACGTTCCAGAGAAAATACTGGTACACTGAATCATATTTAAGGTGGGATACTTGCTATGGAAAGGGATTTTGACAGAAATTCTTTTACAAAGCAAAGATTCATTTCATGTGCCCTCTGTGTTAGGTGCTATGAGGTCGGTTTAAAGATGAGGAAGTACCTCCCCCCTCCTAGTAATTATAAGAACAAAATGAACATATGCAAATTACTGAATACTGACCCCACACTATATATATACAATGAAAACTTTTGATCTCATGTATATCATAAGACTCTTTTTTAATCTTTTATTTATTTTTATTATTTTATTTCAGCATATTATGGGGGTACAAATGTTAACATTATGTATGTTACCTTCCCCTCTTCCCCCCTCATAAGGCTGTATTTAAGTTATTTAATGTGCATTTGAGTGTGAGAAAGGTTTTAATTTTCTGCTGTTCAGCAGGCACATATGCCTTAACTTTCTTACATGGTTTTTCTTGGCAATTTGAACATATCAGAGTCTAAGGAACGGTCTGATGGTTTTATTCATGAGTTCGTCAAACATTTTTTGACTACTATGTGAGGCACTTGTTTGGCCTAATACTCACTCCATGAAAGCATCAGAAAATCACCTGAAATATAAAAGACTAGTGTGTCCCTTGCCTTTTTCTGTAAATTTCATTTTAAAGTAAGTATTAACACAATCAAGTAGATAGGCACAGTGGTGACTTGATAGCTTCACAGATTTGCTTCAGTTGCATTTAAAAATGTGTATCTTTCTAATTGATGTGTTACAGTTTTATGAATTAGCAGCAAGAGAAATAGTTCTATCTGTAACAAGGGACGGCTATAGCAAAATCACACTGACTTGCTGAAAATCATTCCTTAGGAAAAGTTGTTTTGTTTTGTTTTTTCCCAGTTAATAGCAGTATAATCATTTCTATGTCTTTCCTCTCTGGCTTCAGAATAGTAACAAAGGAAGCTTGTTCTTTGGGAGTTGTGCTAAGTTTCCCAAGCATCAAAGGGCTGAAGTGGAATTATATCCTTAAAGCCATAACGACAAGTGAATGGATGTGCAGTTGTAGGAGTTAGTAGAGCTGAGCGATTGCTGCAGGTTTCGAGAAATGAGACCGCTTTTCCAAAGGTGCAGAGAGTGAGCTGGTGAGAGGGCAGGTAGCCAAGAAGCAAATAAAGGGCACTGACAGCAACGACAGAGGAAGAAGCAAGCACAGATAGCCCTTGCTCCACTGCTGAACGCATACTGAAGTCTCACTGAGTACCCAGAAATGATCTTCATTGTTATGGAATTCCATGCTTTTATGAAAATTGTTATAATATTTGCTAAAATTCCCCAATACCATTTTTGAGAGGGCCAGCTATTAAAATCTTGAACAGGGAAAGAGTTGCTTTTGAGAGTCACAGTTTATATGTGCATGGCTTGTGCATCCAGACATTGGTTTCTTTTTCTCCTGTATCCTCTCCCCTCCCCCAGTGCAACTATATGAAGTGATAAACACCACGACCACCATCTACATGGTGATGGAATACGCCAGTCATGGTAAGAGCATCTATACATTATGTATTGTTTTTTTTCTTTATTCCTTTGTAAAAGAATACAGAACCACACTTCCCATATAATTGTTAAGATATCATTTAACATCCAGAGTCATAATATACTAGGATGAGAGTAAAAAAGCTGACTCTTAGCAATTCTATGGGTTGCCATTAAGTGTTTCACTATTAGCTTTGTTAACTGATAAAAGCCAAGACCCTGGATTTTTTAGTGTGGGAAAATACACATCACATAAAATTTACCATTGTAACCATTCGAGTGTACAGTTCAGTGGCTTTAAGTATGTTCACATTGCTTTGCAGCCCTCACCACCATCCATCTCCAGAACTTTTTCATCTTACCAAAGCTAACCACTAACCCCTCATGTCCCCTCCCCAGCTCCTGGCAACCACCATTCTGTCTGCCTGTGTGAGTCTGGCTGCTCCAGGTGCCTCATGTAGGGACTGCAGTATTTGTCCTTTTGGGACTGGCGCATTCCACTCAGCATAAGGTCTTCAAGGTTCATCCATGTCGTGGCCTGTTTCAGAATTTCCTCCTTTCTAAGGCTTTTCTCCAGTTTAAAGATTTTAGTGGTGAACTTACATGCCTATGGCTAAACTTAAGACCAGCTTAAACTCTACATATTTCTGTCTGACTTCATTCCTATGTTTAATAATGAGAGCATTGCTAAAAGTGACACATTATCAATTGATGGGAAAATTAATGCTCAGAGTGGGACTTCTGCTTACCTTTATTTCTCTCAATTGTAGGCGATGTATATGATTATTTACAAGAGGTGGGGAGAATGCATGAGGAAGAGGCCAGGGAGAAGTTTCGCCAGGTAGGAATCATTGCATCTTTAGTTTGTTAATTTAATAAAGTTATCATGCTTAGACCCTGAAGCAAAAAGTGTTAGCCTCCGTAAGTGCTTAGAAGGCTCACTGGGTGGCAGACATTGGCCATTCAGCTGGAAAAATCATATTAGGTGCCCTTCGTACCTAAGGTACTGTGCTAGATAGGTCGCCATGGGTCCTATTCCTGGCTTTGTGAAGTCAACATTAATCTCACTCTTAACTTTCACTTTTGACTATTGAGCCTTAAAAATCTAGAGCTATAGATATAATATCTATGATTACATTAATTAAAGCCATTTCAATGTTTTCAGCAAGAAGAATGGCAGAATCCCAAAATTTATGAGTTTTGTCTTACATATAACCCAAGACTAAATAGAACTGAATCTGTTAATTAGTGATTTTCCTCTTTGCTTGTCTTTACGTTGCTCTTTAAGGACACAGGTTTTTTGTTTTCTTTTCTTTTTTTTTTTTTTTTTTTTTTTTGAGATAGAGTCTCACTTTGTTGCTCAGGCTAGAGTGAGTGCCATGGCATCAGCCTAACTCACAGCAACCTCAATCTCCTGGGCTCAAGCAATCCTCCTGCCTCAGCCTCCCAAGTAGCTGGGACTACAGGCATGCGCCACCATGCCCAGCTAATTTTTTGTTTATATATTTTTAGTTGGTCAATTAATTTCTTTCTATTCTTAGTAGAGACTCTATTTTTAGTAGAGATTATTTAAAGTAGAGACTTTAGTAGGGTCTCACTCAGGCTGGTTTTGAACTCTTGACCTCGAGCAATCTGCCTGCCTTGGCCTCCCAGAGTGCTAGGATTACAGGCATGAGCATTTTAGGTTTTGTGGTCCATACAGTCTCTGTTGCAACTATGTAGCTCTCCTGTTACAGCATAGAAGCAACTGTAGACAACACTAAATGAATGAACATGACTGTATTCCAATAAAGCTTTATTTACAAAAACTGGGATGGTCCAGATGTGGCCCATATAGGCCCTGATTTGCCAACTGCTGATTGAATGGAGGAAAGGAGCAAGTGCTTTCCTGCTTTTTAATGAACTTTGTCAGCTCCTAGTTACAAGGTCCACATTGAAATGGCAGTAGGGCCTTATTTCTCTCAGAACCTTTCAATTTTGTTTTCTTCACGTATAAGTTTGTCATGACAGATAGGAAACTTAAAGTTTCGCATTTGGAAAGGTGTTTTTAGCTGATGTTCAAGGTTTCTCTTAACAGTGCCTCCTTTGATTTGCTTAGGATTCATTTCTAAGTTTCTTAACTTCTGTTTTTGCTTAAATTTAAAAGCTTAAGGCCGGGCGCTGTGGCTCACGCCTGTAATCCTACTCTTTGGGAGGCCGAGGCGGGCGGATGCGTCAGTTCAGAGTGGCAGGAGAACCGAGCCGCTGGAGCAGAGGGAGTAGGCGACCGCCGTCTCTACTATAATAGGCAAAGAATCTAATTGGCCAACCCTGATATATGATATACCCCAGTGGCGCATGCCTGTACCAGCTCACCCCGCGGACGCTGAGGCAGAAGATCTACTCGAGCCCCAGGAGTCGTTGACTGTTGCTGTGAGCTACAGGCTGACGCCACCGGCACTCACTCTAGCCCTGGGGGCAACCAAGTGAGACTCTGTCTCAACAAAAGAAAAAAAAAAAAAACACAAACCTAAAAATCCCTAATGGTACTTTGAATTAAAATCCATTGGGCTGGGCGCAGTGGTTCACGCCTGTAATCTAGCACTCTGGGAGGCCGAGGCGGGCAGATGCTCAAGGTCAGGATTCGAT